AAGATTCCTGAAAGCAACAGAATGGATATGGGGGAATGTTTGTCTCTGGGAAAAGAACAAAAAAGAGCAGAGACTGCATATGAAACACCGTCAGCCACTTACATGGGCTTCAGAAAGGTTCCCCTGTGCTACTGTCAGTGACTAATTCTGCCCCCACCCCCATATAATCTAGAAAACTAAGTATTTGTTGTGGCTTACTATACTGTAAATCTCAAACATGTTATCTCTTCCATGTTGAAGTCTTTAGAAGCCACCGCCTATCAATTTGCTACATTATATCCCTTTTTTCCACTTATCCAATACAAGGTCAAAGGCTGTAGGAGAGGGTACATCCGAGACAGGTCGCCAGTCTGTCAGAGAGCCACCACAGGGTGACAGACAACCATTCACGCCTACGGTGAATCACCAATTAACCTAACATGCATATCTTTGTACTGTGGGAGGATGCTGGAGAACAGAGAGATCATGCAGGCCTCAGCAGGCTGGTTGCTATGAGGTGATGGTCTTCACCTACACGCGACCATACTGTCCTCAAATTACTACATTATATTTTTTAAATACGCCTAGTGATAGTGCACTGTGGAAACCTCATATACCTTATTTGGTGTCATAAATCCTTAAAAAAATTCAAGAAGTTTTTAAGCCAGTAGTGAATCTCAGATGCGCAAATACAAGTGGTCCAAACTGGACTTCCACAGAGCAATATTTTCTACTTTTTTAAGCAGCAGCACTCAAAGTCATCCAGAGGTGCACGATAAGAGCCAAATCTAAATCAACTAAGATTTTTGTTTTATCATGGTTGCAGGACTCCTGCTCTAAATAAGCGTTTTGTTTTTTTTACTTTTTGTGCCATTCCCAACTTGAAACGTCAAAAAAAAGTCACGTTTATCAATCTTCACCAATAAAAAAAGTATTGAATTTGAATTTCACACTGGCATCAGCAAATTAGTTTTTTTGTTTTTTAAAAAATGTTAAAAAAACACACTTATTCAAATGAGTTTCACTTCACGTTTTTTATTGGTTGTCCTTCCCCTGCCGGTGGTTGCATGCACCAGTTGTGGGACACTGCTCTAAATACTCACCAAACCACCAAAACCACTCACTTAAAGCTCACTTTTTCAAACCTTCAAATAGCATTTGATGAAAAAGAAGCTCGGTGCTACCTCCTGTTCGATGAGTTTTCGAAGAAAGAAAATAGACGCAGACTAATGATGCTTACTTGACTGTGAGCTGCGAGGTTTCGCCCCCAGGTACGCCAGGTTCACATTGGCCTTCCTGCCGTCGATGATGGGGTTTGGGTCTTTGCACGCGCGCTCTGCCGCCCCCCTGTCCACCATGGTCACCTGTAGACAGCGTCACAGCATTGCACATTAATACCACTCATGTAATCTCTTAAACCGACAAAACTGCAACGCATGAAAGCTTCTCTACAGTCTGGATGCCAGCATGAGCACTAGGATGAAACAACACAGAGGGGTGACCCTGAGGATGCTTCTGTCCTCGTCTCCTTAATCTTTTTTTCCCCCTTTTTTTGCAGGACAGGACACTGACTCCACTACATGAAAGGAGAAATGAGTGTGTTTTAAAGCTGCCAGTGGAGCTTCAGCTGTGTTGGTGTGGGTTGAAGTGTAGGAGGCAGACTTTTTTTCTTCACCCTGGCTTGCCAAGGATGAAATGCTAGAATCTACCTTGAGGGACTGAGTTGAGGAGTGGGCAGAAAGAAACTGGGAAGGGGTGATACAGGTTAACACACACACACAGAGTGCAGTTACACCACAATGCAGAACCACAGCTGCAGGCTCCATTGCCAGTAAGTGGGACAGTGAAAGTAAAACAGCTATGCTTGCTTTCATTTTACAGCATCAGACTCTGGACTTTTATGCAAACATAAAGCAGTGGATGGTTTTTAGATCGCTGTGGTTCAAGAATTAAGACCTCTAAAGAGACGTCGGGGATGAAATGAGCACGCTGCTACCCAACTCTCAAAAAAGGGAGGGGGGAGCTCAACACATGGCTGCTTCAGCTGATCAGCTCATTGGCTGCGCAGTAGGTAGAGATAATCTGAAGTTCAATACACATTAACTCAAAGTCACTCAGACAAACAACCAAAACCCATCCTGGCAGAGGGGGGAAGGGCTGTGAGGGAGGAAGTCAACATGAAACTGCTGCAGCCTTATCTTGCAGAGCCAACTGACATGTCACACCTCCGAGTCCAGGGACCCCCATCTCCCCACCCTACACACACACACACACACACTCTCACACACGAACACACAGACGACACAGACATCTGCCCACAGCTGCAGCAGCTTATTACCAACTCAAGTGTATCTGTGTGGGTGTGTGTGTCCTTGTTTTGTGTCTGTTCGAGCTTCCATTTGTACTTGGGGAGAGTGGAGATAATTGATGACACACTTATAAGATATAACCTGCTTCTCATGCTTCTGGCATGTGACTGTCACCACCAGACACACTGCACATGGCTCCTGCTTGAACAAAGTGGCAGTGTGTGCAGCGTGCAAGCCCGAGACACACACATTAAAAAAAGGTTCCGATGAAAAACATAAGAATAATGTAATTAACTATTAAGATAAAGTCACTTTAAACTGATTAGCAGCTACAACAGACGCGGGCTACTGTGCTTTAAGCGCTCTTCGTTTAATTAGACTGGAAGTTGCTGATAAAACCTTAATTAAACGCTCTTTTTTGCTTTGTTTATTCACTCTACATGCGTTGAGTTGCTCTCTGATTCTAGCAGAGAAAAGGCAGATGAACTTAGATTGACTCACAAAGCCGTATCCTCTGGATTTTCCCGTCTGTTTGTCCGTGATCACCACTGCCTCGTCGATGTCCCCGAAAGTCTCGAAATATTTCCGAAGTGAAGCGTCGTTGGTGTGATAAGGAAGCCCGCCGACGAAAATCTTGGTGTAAGTTGTGTCTTTTTCCATGGTGGGGTGCATTATCTCTAACGGAACCCCGACCAGCTGACCTAAAAACAGCGGTGAACTCATGCGGCTTGAAGATAAAGAAAAAAAAAACGCAACACAAAGGAAAAAAAACAAAAAACACAACAAGACAGTAGCGGAAACTTTACGCTCTGTGGTCACCGACAGCCTATAATAACGCCAACAGCGCGTCCATGGCTTGACTCGCAGCCCCCGGTTGCCTCACATATACCGCTTTTAGATGTGTACTTGTCTTGGACCCTCTTGTCTCCCGTCCGTAGAAAAAAAAGGCAAAGTCTCCAGGCTTGGACAGGCGGTTACATGCGCCCACTCTGTTTCTGGTCCAATAGACGAGCGGTGCGTCTTTTCCTATCCGCGCATCCCTCCTCCTGCTCCACCCTACCCCCTGCCGCCGCACACACACACACACACACACACAGGAAACCCCCAACTTGGTCAGTGAAATGATGAAACGGAACAGCCGGATAATTTGATGTCTGCTGCTGTGGAGAGCAAAGGGGACCAAATGTCTCCAGGAAAAACCGGACCGTGTGCGCGCCTGAGAATGCGTTTGACTTGAAGCTTCGGAGAAAGTTGGTGCGAGGAAAACAGTGATGAGAATGACAATTCACCAAAAATACACATAAAACCGGCAGTTTGTAAAAAAAAAACGTTGGACTTCGTCTGGCAAGATTCCCACAGCATGGCTTTAAGGAAGAATTATTTTGAACTAAAGTTCGCAATTAAGGTTTTAGCAAAACCAGCCTCCGCGAGTGAAGCAGCCAAAAATGGTGCTACTGTATAATTTACAAGAGATAAAATACTATTAAGGAAATTTGTTCTCGATTAAGCTAAAATATGCCAAGTTCCTCGCCCACCACAAAAGCTCTAACTGTCCTGACTGTTTGAACCAAACTAACACTCCACAGAAGTGCTGGCGGCGCTGTGAAGCAATTCACTGCACCCAATAGTTCCCCATTCTGAGTAACTTCATTAACATGCATGCGCTGGAAGTCATCCCCTGGAAATCATTAACCGGTGGACGAAGTTTCATAAAGAGTAGAGGAGACCTTCACATCTCCAACCTGCTGATTACCCATTTCTCCAACTGAAACACTGCGTATTTATTTAACCCTCTGAGGTCTGAATCATCAGAAGTAGTATATTTTGCAGAAAGGCAAAAAGGACCTCGCTGTAAAAACTGTAAATATTTTAAGGAGATTTTTTCCTTTGTTCATAGCTCGATAAGAAGTGGGAGAATAATCTAATAAAAACAAAATGTACATATTGTAAATGGCTATTGGTTAGAGATGGCGTGATTATGTGATGATTCAGAGCTACGAGGGATAAATAAAATCCCTCGTAGCTCTGATTGATTGTTACGTTACCTTAAAACTGAAGGGAAACGTTTAAAAATGCTTTGCATTTCAGACTTGCAGTTGTTGGAGAATTTAAAAGGGTGAATGAGTCACCCCACAGCAGCAAGTCAATCAAGTGAAAGTTATTTAAAGCTCTGAAAGGCGGATAGAGTCTTTTAAAGTTTCTGTACAGTAACAGAAGCTGCAGCACTCGTGGGGATGGGATGGCCTTGCCTGGTGTGTGTGTGTGTGTGTGATCCTTTCATTAGAGAGTGGGGGTGGATAATTAAGATGAGGGAAGAAAGCGGGATGATACATGACAAAAGCTCACACGTTTGAGAGAGCGGCGGGGCTCTTGCAGGAAACATCCCTGCAGATGAAAGCGAGACGTAAATGAGAAGAAGCTCTCGTCTTTTGTTTTAGAGGAATGGCCACCCAAACGCCCGAATCCCCCACTACATGTTGATAGCTCTCATCCACACAAAGACACACTCACCTCCCCTCCTCCACACAGACTCACGTTTCATTAATACTTGGACCAGGAGAACGTCTGCTTGTAACATACACTTGTAGCTCTTGAAAGGCTCAGATACTGCAGCAGAAACACAGTTTCAGCGCTTTCTGTAAGTCTGGATTGTTGCTGCAGGGCGTGAAGACTGATGAGTCGTGCACAAAATCAAACACAGCAGAGCCACTGTAATGTTTAAATATAAATTTGTATTTACATCAATATTAACATCAAGAAACAAGGTAAGAAAAATGCAACAGTATTTTACATCCTGTATTAATGACTGTATGATTCCCAGATGTGTTTTCTCTTTTCTTTAAGCTCCAGTGAAGCACTGAGAGGAGTTCCTTTCCGTTAAAGCAGAAACACAGATGTTTTGTTTGAAATGTTTGTAGATAAGTCTTTCATATTCTTCATCGAGAGACAAGGGTTTTAGAAAAAAAGAAATCCAGGCTATTATTCTGAGACATAAATGACATCAATCATGAATGAAGCCTCCCTTTCCCAGCTTAAAAACATTCTCCTGTGTGAAATTTGCAGCACCACGATTCAACTGGCCATAAGGTCTACAGAAAGGAAGAAACGATCACAAACAAAAACCGAAAGCATCTCAGCAGAACCAGACTCATGTCTACTCTATTTCATACAGATGGGGGATATAATATATGCAATTAAACATATTCAGCTCAATGTATATTATAGGTAATGTGCAACAGTAAAAGCACACATGAGTACTTGCACAATCTACATCAGGAACTGTGTCTACGCACTGCAGAATGACAAACAGAAATCTTTGGGTTGAGCGTGTTTTCAAAGGTAGATTTCTCAACAGAAAGTTCCACAGGAAACACATCAGAAATAAAGTTCAAAACTTGAATGTAAAATTAAAAAACATCCTGCCGAGACAGTGGCAGATAATCAGGGGATTTAAATCTCCTTCCTTCTGTTTGTTGCTTTCGTCATGATTAAATATCTGCGGACAAACCGCACAGGCTTATGGACACAGCGGGACTGATTTCCAAAGTCTCGTATCTGAGGCTGAACGAAACTGAAAGCGCAGAAACCTCAGGAGGGAAAAACAAGTCAGAAATGGAAGCTTGAGGTTAAGTACAGAGAATACACACCTCACATACCGGTAAGACATCTGGGCCTCTTGAAGCCTAACACAATCATGTGTCAACTCTTTTTATATAGGCAATTGTTTTGTTTTAATTAAAAGAAATATAATTTACTTAAAAAAAAAAAAAGTTAACCCACTAGCACCTCTTTAGCTAAGATTATGTCCTCGGAAAAATAAAGAAAAGTTCTTGATTCGGAAATCACAAAATAAAAATAAAGGTGCGTTCTGAGACAGGGAAAGTGGCAGTATGAAAGAAAGTCACACGTACACGTACTGCTTACAAAAAGAGGCCCTTCCTTTCCAAACCGATGGTTAAAGTATTGAAAATAAAAGCCGAGCCATGACAGAATAAGAAAATTACACTTTTAAATATCAAGCCTTACAAGCTGTGCAAAAAACAGTATGTGACCTACAAAAGCATATATATATTTATATATAGTACATTTGAAGCGTATTTACAATTCATATTCACAGACGAAAGGAAAAGAAAAGCTCCTAACAAGACACCATGTCTAATACTGCAGTACCGTCGCTTTGAGTAAACAATGCTTCAGCTTTGTCCTCAGAGGAAAACCAGGAGGAAGGATTATTGCTAGAAATATGCACACCTACACTCAAATCTAACACTTTCTTTTAAAATGTTAGGTAATCTAGGCATAATTTCATAACTGGCAATCCGTTTTTGATTTACTTACTAGTAGCACTGTAAACGGGTGCAAGGTAACCAAAATATCTGAATCATTTTGAGCTAAAAATCACCTCCTCAATGTAAATGATCACCTTATGACTCTGTAGAAATATAAGTGGAGTGTTTGAATTTTAATAGAAGACTCTTTGTTCCAAGAGTGACTTTAAAGTGGCTTAAAAATTGTCATATTAATAAATCCGCACACTATATACGAGTGTATTGGATCAAATCTGTGCTTACTGCCTTTCTACTGGTTCCCACTAATGAACAAAGAGCATCAAGGTTACCCATTTCCAATCAACAGCGCCTTTTCTCAGATAGGAAACCCTGAAGAACAACGCACACAAAAATAAACAGAAGATGTCTGCTGCTATGCGTTAATTCTCGGGTAAAGGCCTCTATATTGCCACAATCCTTTTGATGTTGGCTTTTCCTTAAAGTGCAATCAGCCAACAAGGAATTCAGTCGTACTTTAGCCCAGGGGCGTCCCAGGGAATGAAACAATGTGCTACTGCTTAATCACATTCGTGTGAGTGTCACAATCTGACGGCACATCATCTAGAACCGCTTTGACAGAGATCCTCCAGGAGCAGCAGAAAGACGGCGGATTAAAAAAATCCCGAAGAGTTCAGAAACGAGAGAGCAATCTTTTCAGATCTGAATACAGCTTCATGGTACATTCGACAAAGGAGAGGATGTCACAACACGTTTGTCCACGTGGTCTCACTCGAGCGTCCGTCCACCTTCACCGTTTGGTCCGGCGAGTGCGTTCGGCGTGGGCACGCACGCACTGCTCACAAAGAGGGGGATATTATACTAAGGTCCGTTAGAGGATTCGCAAAGGTGTCTGTATGACCATCGTTATGTATCTGTGTGTAAAGAAGTCACAGTGTTTCTGATTTTTTTTTAATGTTTTTTTATGATCGCTGTGTGTTTTCATGTATGTGACAGAGTCTGTGTTTCCGCAGGTTGCCAGACTGACGTTACTGGCCACGAGTCCAAAGGGAAGTTCACGCCCCCACCTGGTGGGAGTACAGCACAGCACAGACTAACATTGCCCAGTCCGCCCCACACACCGCGGTGCTGCAGCCGTCTGCCGTCTCTGAATGGTGATCACAGTGAGACAAAGGAGTCTGCCACGATGTTCAGCAGTATTTCTAAATGTGCAGCAGAGGGAGAGAGGAGAGAAAATGAGACAGGGAAGTGCAATCAACAAGTTTTCTACAAAACACCTGCTAGAAAGAGACACGACAGGTTCAGTCAAATTTGTCCTAAAAAATACTTACATACTTATATATAGTCATTGGTGTCTGTCATTTAAAGTGGACGTTTATTAATTTCTGCCCTGTTGAAATTGTGAATAATGAATAAATAAAGGTAATTCTGGACTGTGACTCTTACAGAGCAAAGGTATTCTAAGACTTAACAATATAATGTTTTTCTAGTATATGAGATACAAGAGCGGAGGTAAGGAGCCTGTTTTGACAAATATGCAACAACAACAGAGGACCGTCACACCTTTTCATATAAAGTGCAAAGGACTCTGGGATTTATTTGTGTTACAGAGACAAGAAGGTGGAGGCATGCATCTTAAGTTAGCTTAGCTTAAGAAATCTGCACAAAGATAAGATTTTGGGCTCAGTTTGCTTCTCGGGAATGCTACTTGGATCTTCAAAGAAACTGTAGCAGTCAGTCAGATCTGCAGGTACTTATAAGAGTTTGAGAACCATAAGTGACGCATTAATGTTTCTATATGTTTAAAATAAGCTTAGAGTTTAATGAGGTCGCTGTGCTGTAAAAACTATGTATATTATGAATAAGAGGACTTCTTTAGTCAGCAGTTAATAAGCCTTTAACATATGTGAGCCTGTTCTTTAGCTTCTCACACCCTCTGAACATACCTGATCAGGCCCCATCGGCATTCGTCCCATCACCATTGGGTTCATACCCATTTGCCCCATGTGACCTCCTCCTCCACTAGGCGGCATGCCCCCGTTCATCATCATGCCTCCATACTGCCCTGGATTCCCCTGCTGGCCAAACTGCTGTTGCCCTGGAGGTCCCTGCTGCGCAAACTGTTGCTGAGGGTACGAACTGGTGACAGGAAGGAAGAAGAGTTAAACTGTTCCTCTTCAACAAGAGAAGAACAGAAACTATGCCCATCCCTCTCCCCTCCTCCTGACAGCGAGATGTAGGGGAGTAAACGTGTCGTACCTGTTGCGACCCATGCCTCCCTGTGACCAGCCTTTCATATCAGCACCCTGGTACATGGGGCCACCCTGTGGGTGCTGTTGCATCATGGGATTTTGAGGCCCCAGGCGGCCGGGCATCATGGCATTAGGAGGACTTCCACCTGAGGGGCCAAAAGAGGGGTCTCCTTGCTGGCCCATCCCTGTGGGGAAATCATCAAGCTTCAACTTCAACTTCTCTCCACTAATGTTCAAGGCACAGTTGATAAATACAGTACCAGCACTCACCACCAGGGAGCAGCAGTATTCTGCCTAGAAAGCAGTTAATTAGACTCACCATAGTTGCCACCATAGCCAAACTGCTGGGGGCCCGGCTGGCCCATGGTTGGCCCTCCCATAGGGTTGTCCATACCGCCAGGAGCTGTGACGTTGGGAGGAGGGCTGAACCCTCCGGCAGCTGCAGCAGCTGCCGCCGCCGCCTGCTGTTGCTGTTGCTGCTGCATCAGCATCATCATGCGTTGCCTCCTCATCTGCATGGTGACCATCTCCCTGCTTCGTTGAGCCATCATCTGAGCATTCAAGAAGCTCGGCTAGAGAAAATAAATAGATAATCACATATCCAGAGGAGAACTGTCACCTGCTGTAGTCATATTTAGACCTTTCTGAAAATATGTGATGAAGAATGTGTTAAAACTGGTGGGTAAAATGGACACGATGTAATAATATTTATCCTAAATTTTACTAAACTACAACAGTCAATTACACTATTAAAGATGTAGCACTTGAAAACTGCAACAATGCTTCAAGGCAGACTGAAAATAATAGACTGGGTCTAAAATTGCTGCAACTCATCAGAGGTCACTGTAATACTTTTTTTCAACCCCAAATTAAGGCTGAAAGTTTGCACGCGGCTAAATTAACAAAATTTGTGTCGATGGTTAAGAAGAAAAAGATGCAAAAAGGGTGATTTATTATAACACAGTGCCACATGTAAAAAACTGTGCACACACAAAAGGTCTGAGCTTGCACACAGTAACTCTGCAGCTACTGCGTCAGCCGTTATATCTATTTGCTTGGTACACAAACACCTTTATGTGTATTTATTTAGTCATTAATAAAAGTATGACAGGTAACTGCAGTCACATTAAAAGCATTTTCACTTAAATGTAACCAAACAAGTTTTTGACATCTACCTGTCCTCCCATGCCAGGTTGCATGCCGGGCCTCATGCCAGGGTTTCCTCCTGGGTTCTCCATTTTCAAGGCCATGCCCTGCCGTGTCTGATTCATGAACTTCAGGAAAAAACGAAAATCCAGGATGACACGAGAAAGCAAATATTAACACAGAGCTCCAACACAGAGAGACAGACTTAATATTTACACCTATGGCCAACTTTTGGTTACCAGTTAACCTAACAAGCATGTCTTTGGCCTGCAGGGGGAAGCTGCAAGAGCGAGGAAGCTCCAAATTTCAAAATGGACAAAACTATCCACAGCAAATACAGGTTTCCAATTTTCCAAGGTAAGACCACCCCTGACTTTATTTGCATAATGCTACACTTGCGTTTGTCGTTCCAATTTAAACATACTGCATATCCTGTTTGTATCACAAAAACTACAATACTGGGACAACTCTGACCCAAGTTAATTTGCCTGTAAAACAAATCATGATGGTCTTGTGGTCACACCTGTTGTCCCTGCAGTCTCTGTTGCAGCTGGAGCCTCATTGGCTTGTTTGCACTCATCATCCTGGGTCGCATCATGTTGGCACGAGGGTGGCCCATGCCCACCATTCCACCCATAGCGGGGAAACTGCCGCCTTGGCCCATTTGTGAAAGCATGGGCCCAAATCCCCCCTGCTGGGCCTGACCCTGCATAGGGTTCCCTCCATAGCCAGACTGCATAGGCATAGTAGGAGGTCCAGGATAGCCCTGCCCATAGAGAGGCTTCTGGTCCACTACCATGGACGGATCCTGCCCTGGAAAAGGTTCTAGCTGCTGCTCTGCTCCCTGTGTCTGGAGGAGATAGGACAAGAGGACAGAAAGAGAAGTCTGTCAAACTTCCAATTGGTTTCCAATTGGTTTGCTCTGTAATAATCTTTTTCTAAGTGCACAGACTGATCCCTCTGGGCTCATCTGTTACCTTTCAGTGAGGGAACAGATTGAACAGGGTGAGTCACGACTGAAATATCAAATGCAAAGATGAATGCTTCACTCGCATGCAAGCAATGATATTTTTCTCCTTTTACATCACATATTGAGAGGTCTGGAAGAGCACAGGGGTGAACATGTTGTCCTTTTATTGTTTTCTAACCTGGCTGACGAGGTCTGGGATGCCCAGAGCTCTGTCTATCTCCTCCAAAGCGATGCCATCTGTATTGTTCAGCAGGGAGTCTAGTTGGTCCAAAAGCGCCCGTTCATCGCTCTGACCCTCACTCGTGGTGGGAGGCACCAGAAGATCATCTAAGGTGTTGCCAAACTGCCGCCTGCAACAAACGCAGAGAAAGAGAAACTCAGCACAAGGTTCAGGATAAAACATAAGAACATAAGAATTCAATGGAGACCCAGAGGGGTGTTGCACTGACCTGTTTCCCTCCATGCCCATCATTGTGTCCGGCCAGGAGGGCGACTGGTTCGGTTGGCCCTGCTGGCTGAAGGGGCTCATACCCATGCCCATATCAGCAGAACCTCCTAAACCAGCAAGACATGGGTATAGTTATATAGCCAGTCAGCTGCTTAAATGCTACTTTTAAAAATAAAGTTTCTAGCAGGAAACATTCACATTCCCCCCAAAAATGTAATTACTTTACTTTTCATCTCACACTATCATTCAAACAGAAAGTTAAGTTTCGTATATTCATAGTTAAGTTAAACTATGAATATACATTATAGATAGTGAACACAGTGCAAATGTACCTGCCAATCTCCTTGGCCTGTATTTCTAAAATTTCACCCTTCTGTCTGTGCTTGTAAACATTTCCCTACCACCTTCGGCGGCTGGGCCCCGTATGACAGACGTACCCATATCCATGAGCTGTTGCTGCAGCATCGACCTTGTGGCTGGCACGCTGTTGGAGCGGCTGACCATGGGCCCTGACATTACGCCCTTGCCGTTGTTGTTGTACTCCATGCTCGGGCGCATCATGGGTGGATATCCTGCTGAGCCCACAGGACTGGCACTGGTGCGGGGCATGCCCCACTCACCTGAACTACCCATGGGGGATCTCTGAGGACCCATCCCTCTATTCATTGGTCCTGGCGACACATAAACACCACATGTGTGTGTCAGTATCATCAAAGCTGTTACACAGAGCAGTTTAGCCCAGTCTTAGTCCTCGATATTATCAATTTAAATTGTGATACAGTCAAGGGCAGAAACTGGTGAACACATACCAAAAAAAACTAAAACTGAGAGGCAGAGAAAGAGTGAGAGGAAATGTGCAAAGTAAATAAATTCTGAGCTCCATAAACACATAAACACACACCCATGTTTCCTGGATAGCTGTCAGGGCTGCCCATCATGTTTTCCTGCTTGACAAGCATGGGGCGTCTGCCTCCTCCAGGCCCACCAGGAGGCTTTGCATCCATGGACATGGCCCTCTGGAAGGGCACCCGGGGTCCTGAACCCATACCTGGACTCCCTGTACAAGCAGCATAAAAAGAAAAGGAATCCCTTTGTGATTTCGGTGCTTTATAAAAATGTAAATGTATGACATGAGAAAAAACAGCTCCTATAATAACATATTTTTCTAGTATTGATATCCCATTGTTGCACGAGCTTTTTTTTTATGGATTCATAAATGAATAAATGAGAAAATAATGAAAATAAAGAGAAACCCAACAGAAAATCAAATAGAATCGAATGTCTAAAATTAAGCTATTTTCCCCCTGCTCCGTTACTCACAGCGGGCTGCCACAGCGGGTAGCTCCACATATTTGATTTGACTGCTGCTTTCAGTTTTAATGCTAGATGCCCTTCCCGACGCAACCCCAAAGGGATTTGTGTCTCCTCCTGGGATCAAACCGGGGATCTTCTGCAAATGTATAAACCACTACACTATGGAGCCACTGACCTGATCACTAAAAAATGCAGGGAATTCATAAAATAATGCAGTTAATATTGAAAGTATTAAAAATTAAACAGGCTCCAGTCGCCTTCAGCCCGAAACTGGACGAGCGGTTGAGAAAGTGGACGGATATTTTACTCTTTCTTCTTTTTAAGACAACTTTTGTAACACTTTGTGCACTTTCCCACAGATTTAGACTCACTCAGATTTTATTAATCGTCATTTATTCAGCGAGCGAGGATATACAATCTTTTTTCACAGGATTCAAAAACAGCAGCTACGACATATAAAACATTAGTCAGATGCTGCGCGTGAATACGAATCTCTATATGGTTGAAACTAAATTCCACTGAGAGAGATTATAGTGTTCGCTTCACTTTTGTATTTTTTGGCTTTGAAACTGAAGTTGTACTCTTTGCCACTGTTTTGTCAAAGGATCAGTGTTGCAACATGCAAAATGCTGCAAAGGAGGAGCCCTCTTCAGTATAGCTGAAGAGAAGTGTTTGGGAAACAGCCACACAGACGTTAAGAGTTCAAGAAAACTCTGAATGACAGCATGAGATGCTCAGATGCTATTTCAGTGGCATTTTATCCTGATATCATCACATATGATATTATAACGCCTGCTCTGCGTCTGTCACTTCTCATAAGCTTTGATCTGTAAACCACTCACCCTGCAGGCTGTCGTCAAGGCAACCCGGGGGTTTGCTTCCTGTGTCGTTGGCCCCTCCACCTCCAGCCTGATCGGGGTAAAAGTCAGAGCTTGAACTCCTCAGATCTCCCAGGATAGATTCCAGGTTGTGCAACTAAAAAAAAGAAATAAAATAAAAATAGTTACCCAATAAGTCAACAAGACAAAATCAAACATTAATCTTCATAGAAAGCTAAATGTCAGGTCACGAATATAGTACAGTACAGTCAATCTTACATCATCAGGTGGTTCTGACTTGATCTTGCTCTCGGGATGTTCAGGTACAGGGCCGGGCCCAGATCCGGGGATACTCCGTGGTGGGCCGCCAGCAGCCCCCGCAGGTCCCTTCCCATCTAGCTCTTCGAGTTTGGGCTTAACATCCACTGGCTCTTTGGAATCATCCTTGTTGAGGAGATAATGGAGGAGGGCATGGGTCTTCTCCTTCTTGGGACTATGCTGCTCCTGTTTGGGATCTGTGATCAACCCAGGGCCCGACCCGGCCCCTGAGCCTCCTGTTCCAACCTCAGCGCCCTCCTGGCCCCCGAGGGACACCTTGCCTGTAGCCTCGGCTGTGATCTTAGCCACTTCATCTGGCGTATTGCCGTTCTGCAGCAGCTTGTGGAGGATCTTGTGCTTCTCTTGCAGCGAGCCAGTATAGTGGGCTGATGACATTGATGCTGACACGCCCCCGGGTCCTGTCGCTTGGCCTGAATTTCCACTGGCCGAAGAGGATGAGGTAACCCCAGTTGATGAGGGGCTAGTCATGCCTCCCGTCGTATCCTTACTGTCTGGGCCCGCAGGAGCGTTACTGCTGGTCGGAGGGGGCGGTACAGGGGGCCCCGTTGGCCCACTGCCACCTATTCCCAGCTCCTCTGTAGGAGACGTCAGCAACTGCAGCAGCTTCTTATGTCCCTTACTGTCTGGCACCCTGCGAGGGGGTTCGGAGTTAGCCGCTCCCGCTTCATTGCTTCCGTCTCCAGAGTCTTTAGTCGCTGTTGCTGCCTGGCTATCGGGTCGGTCTCCAGAACTCTCAGCCTGAGGATGCTGATGATGGTGGTGATGGTGCATGGGGTGGTGATGGTCGCTGGGTCCAGGTGCTAAGCCCCCGGCTGGGCTTTTGGAGCCATCCTGGCCTGGTTTGGCTGCCTGACTGGGCTGAGAAGAAGAGGAGGAGGAGTGGATGCTGGGAGAGCTGTCTGGTTTGTGGGCCGGAGAAGGAGATGTTAGGGTAGAGGGGAGTGAGCTCCCTACTCCTTCACTGATGGCTTGTAGGGCATTTAAGGAGCTGCTGGAGAAGGTGGTGGTGCTGCCCCCACTTCCACCATTACTGCCAATGCCACTCATAGGAGAGTGCAACCCTGGAACAGAAAGAGGAGTCACACATTAACTGGATTCAACAATGAATTCCGTGAATTAAAATATGCTGAACACTTGACGCTGACAGACTTACCTCCAGGTGAGAACTGGTTGGAGCCCATTTTTGGGCTTCCCCGGTTCCGAGGTGACATCAGGAGACCCTGCTGAGGAACGCCCATTCTCGGGCTCCCCGAGGGACTGTTCATGCCACTGAGGCCAAAGCCGCCACTGCTCTGAAACGGGGGCTGCTGTTGGTGCTGCGGCATTCCTTGGCCTGGGTGATTCATAGGACCCATCTGATTCATCTGATTCATGTGCCCCATCTGATTCATCTGCATCATGCGGTTACCCATGCCTCCTCCTCCACTTCCTCCTCCGCCATTTCCTCCATACATCGAGCTGCCGCCCATCGGACCCATGTGACCCTGCTCATTCATGCCGAAGCCCCTGTTCATGCCCCCCATGCCCCCCATACCCATTCCGCCACCGGTGTTCATTTGGGCATTCGGGTTGGGGCCTCCCATGCCCTGCTGTCGCATCGTGTTTGGCATCATGCTCCCACCCGGTGCTGAGCGGTAACCATTCGGCTCCCTGTGTGGAAGTAGAATAAAAACTAGCACAAGCTTTGAACAAAAAGCACATACCTTGAAAGTGCACTGTCTCCCACAATAACCTCTCAGACTGTAGACTTGAGATAAATGCATATAAAATACTCGCTCCTCTGCGGATTCTTTTCACTGTTCACAGGATGTCGGTGTATATAAAAGCTACTTCAGCTCCCACTTGAGCTATTTATGTGGCATGAATACCTTGGCTGCCTTGCATAGACATGCTTGAAGTGCTCCTTTTTGTCAGTACAATAAATGAAACGCACTTTGCCGAGTATGAATGCAGTGTGTGTATTTTCAGTTTTCTGACCTCTGTAGTAGGTGCGTGGAGATGAAGCCTTGCGGCTCGTTGCTCATAGGGTGACGGTACAGCTTACTCTTGGTCTGGGCTGTGACTGGAGTGCCGTCAGAGAGGGAGAAGCGGTACAAGGGCGTCTCTGCGTGACCCTGCAGAAAGGCTGCACAGACAGATAGAGTAAGATGACCTAAGTCACAACACAGGTCATCAATCACTTCCTGTATGATGAAACCGTCTGTTCATGAGATCAGTACTGAGATGGTAATGCAGGAGGTGTTTGTGTTTAAATAAGTAAGAGTCTTCTTTCTAAAAAGAGAAGTAGTAACAAGAAACTAAAAACAAAGCTACAACCGAGATAAATAAATATACAGTTAATTAAATAAAGCCTTTGCCAGCTGATATTTTTAATGTGGATTTCACTGAGATGAATTCACTAAGTCCTTATACGTGCGTTACCCACCCTCATGATAGTGGCGTTTGTGTGACCAGGGCTGCCCATCGCTGTGCTGAAGGAACATCTGAATGCAACGCCTCAACAAATCCTCCCAGCCCGGACGCATCGACGCTCGCAGAGAGTTCTGGTCGATCTGAATCAGTTTACCTGCCAAGCAGGACAGAAGGAGGGCCCGCGGAGGGAGGAAGCAAGAATACGCAAGAAGAAAGAGTCAAACCTGTTCGTGGGTAAAGAAAGACCATCGCGGCCTGTTTGAGCTTCTGTGTTTGTTTAGTGAGTACGCAGCTCCTCACCTGAGAGTTCATGCCTGGTGTTAAAACTCTCCGTCCTCTCCATGGCTGTCACTCGACGGGCCACGCAGATCATACATGACTGAAGGTCTGCAGGCGAAAGGAGATCAGCCTTGACGATACTTCATATTCACTCTGTGCGTTTGAGGCTTATTATTCAGTATTGGTATTTAACATTCATTTTCACCTTTTATTGTTTTATTTATGTTCTGTATTATTCATTTACTTATATCTGATTTTCCACTTTCTTTTAGAGATCCTCTTACAATAACACAAAATAAGGGATAGGATGTGTGTTCACCACATTAAACATGTGTCTCATTGAAAAATATATGAATAGACTGTAAATGTGCATGTGAGCCTCTAAATTTGTGAGGTTTCTACAAAACAGTGGATGTTGAGACAAAAACTAAGAAAAAGACATAGGCTCCTCCTACCTTCACCCTCCTCGATCATGGCCTTGGGTTGGGTAAGAGCAAAACATTGCATGGTCTCGTAGCGTGGCCCTCCAGGCCCCTCCTCCATGGGGCCGTGGGCATGGCCAAATTTGACCAGCATCCGGCAAGTAAAGGTGTGACTCTTCTGTCGGGCTGCCTCGCTTCCCCACGACACCCCATTTACTAAAAAAAGGTACACAAACAAAAAGGCGTTTACTCTTGGGAGTAAAATGGAATGAGCCTGACGCTCGTGGGACTGAAAACCACACACAGCTATGAATGGATTGCCTGTCATCAAATATCACAAACAGCTCACACCCTATCCTGCCACAGATCCACACAGACACACAAAGGACGACAAAGGAAGCAAAGAAAATAAAAAATGGCACTGCAACATGTATTGTCCTTCTTTAATTGAGAAGCAGAAGCTCCCGCTGCTGTTCGGATCCCTGGCTAAATGGACCATGGGATTAATCTAGCCAAGGTGTCGATTTCCAATATCTCTCCCTCCCAGTCTGCTCTGCAGTGGGCAGAGGCCAGGGACACTCAGCCATCTATCCTCATTTAGACCCTGACTTCTCATCACGGCATGCACACACACATTTAGAAGGGGTCACCTTCACAGGGAGATGTAGAAAGAAAGAGGCACAGGGAAAGGAAACTTCAGAGAGAGATCCGACTGTTCGCCAAGGTCTGAGTGAAGCCTTATCGGGGCCTTGAGCTGGCCGGAGGTTTCTGTCTGGTAGGTGTGCGGAGGATACAAGAGAGGACCCAGGAGAGCGAGACACGTCGGGGAGGTAAGCATGGCAGTGGTGGGGAGGGGCTGTGTGATAGTGAGAGGTGATTTAACAAGGCCTTAGGTTTCTCTCTGGAAAAAAAAACAAAAAACCCCCAGAAAGAAACACCAGCAGTCACCGGGGCTGACGCCTCCCCTCAGACGCAATTAGCCAACAGCGAGGGAGGACAGAGGGGTCAAAAGCACACCGGCTAACAATGAAAGCTCACTTCATGTTCTGTGGACGAGCGTGTGTGTCTGTTTTTGTTGGTGTATGTGTGTTTCTTGGGTGCTTGTGTGGTGTGTGTGTGTATTTAACTGTAGCTGGCACGGTCAGCGGTCATCCCGCAGGAATGTGCAGCGAGAGCGCATTTCATTCACGGCTTCTAAAGATAATGAAGGGGCAGAGCAGCAGAGCGAGACACAATGAGGGGTGGGAGAGCAGAAAGGGAAGCCGGTTGAGAAACAGACAACCACAATATTCGTCTTAGTAGGCAGCCATATTAAGTATGAATGAGGCTGAGAAAGAGCGAGTTGAGGGAGGCACCAGGGACGCTGAGAGCAAAAGTAGATAAAGATGAGTGTTAAAAGATAAAGAGAGCAAGTGAATAAAGGAGCGTGCAGGGGAAGAGGCTGAATAAGTGGGAGAACGTGTCAGTGACATGTCGGAGCCGCCGCCACCACTGCTGCTCGGAGGTTGCTGCTGCTTAGTTAATCGAGTAGCAGGTTCAGTCGAGCACACATATCCATAATTAATCAGCGTTATAAATAGTTCTCCGCGCACATGCTCACATACGCGCGCGCGCGCACACACACACACGGCACCCTGACGAGTGGATTACTGACACAGACGTGTGAAAATACACAATAAGCAGTCGGAGAAAGCAACATTTGCTCGAGTGCTGCGCTTAACTCTTTCCTGTTTAGCTATTTCTTGGAGACATGCTCTCAAACGTGATGATGTGAGGCTTTATTTGAGTTTATTTTTTAATAATTTTGAGCCACCGAGTCTGAAAGCGCCACTTATCGTGAGGATCACCTCTTATCATTTTTAGAATTTTTTTAGATAACAACACCAAAATAACCAGGAGATGAATTCATAATAGGAGCAATCATCATTTGCACTCCGGTATTAAAGAATTAGCCTCACCTCATCCAACTACACAACAATAAAATGATACTTAGCCCTAACAGAGGGTACTTACATTACTCTGATTGTACACAAATACTAAAAGTAGAAAGATTTCCCATACTTCGAATGGAGTATTTTTAGGGTGTGGTGGTACTACTTTTAGCTGAGTATAAGTTTTGAGTGCTTGCTCCACAACTGACAATAAGACACACATACGTACATGCAAACACAGTGAATTAAGTAGAGGAAAGTGAGGAGGTGCATTATTCAGCAGTACGTAGTTTCCAGATGGCTGCCATGGGATCTGAATAGAGCTCGGGCCTGTTTTACACTGTCTGGACCACTGAGTGTGACTGACAGCCGCGCTACGCTCTGCCTGCTTAGCACCGAGTGGGTGGGTGCTCCTGTGCACATGTATGTTTTGTCAGGTGTGTGTGTGTGTGTGCGTATGCGTGCATGTGTTGCTGAATTGCTCCTATGCACATGAACACGCTTCCCAGGAGCTCCTCATTATAACAGGAGATGGAGTAAAGACCGGAGGTGCAAGAATAAATAACTTTGGGAGTTTACGTTGACGTGTGCGGAGAGTTGTTGTAACCTCTCAAAGTTAGTTTTATACCTCGGCCCTGTGGAAGATGTCAAGCAGGGTTTGCTTTTGAGCAGATGTGTAGCTTTGCCATGTGTGTGTGTGTGTGTATGTATTGAGACATGTAGGCTGGTGTGTGTGAGTGTGCGTGTTCCTCACTGTTGGTCTTGGGCAGGTTCTTGTGAAACTCCTCCCTGTCGTCCTCGTGAAGAATGTTGTACACGCTGGTGTTGATGAGCTCCTCCTGTTTGTACTGCAGGTACTGCGTCACGTTGTCCGACACGAACACGATGCTGCCCTCCCGGTTTACCACGAACAGGAAGCCATCCAGAGCCTGGAGCAGAGCGGCCGGAAGTTACCAACGGCCAGGTGGCCAATCGTAAGCATTGATAAAAAGCACGTGATTGACAGGGGAGGAGAGCTGGGCTCACCTGCAGCAGAAGTGGACCCAGGTGGTCCTTGTCGATGACCCCCTGACCAGTTGAGGACACGTCTGACTTTTGAACGTCGTCATCGTTGGATGAAGCTTTACCTGGAGGAGAGGGAATGAATCACAACAATAAATAAATAAATCGATGACATCACACGCAGTCAGTTCAAGCCCAGCTGTTTTCAAAGAAGAAAAAAAAAGAGCAAAGGAGAAACAAGGTGAGAGCTATGTTACCTGAGAAGAATAAACAGCCAGTCCTTCACTACCCATTCTGCATCAGCAGGGGGCAGCGTTTCTCAAGTTTCACTTTTTTTTTTTTAAATTTAAAAATACAGGTGAGGAGGGAGACGGATAGAGGCAGGTTTCTCTGAGGAGCCCGTCAGGAGGAGACGAGGGCTGGGTGCATGTGGAGCAGGTAGCTGCCGTCCTCATGCTTTATATTCAGTGTCAGACTGTGAGGGACTGGCTGGTAGGCTGGGGCTGAGAGAGAGAGCGAGCGGGAGAGAGCTAGAGAGGATCTGGAAGCTGTAATGGTGCAGGGGTAGGAGCTAAGACACCTGAATTAATGGAGGTGCTGAGGCTGAGAGCGGGAAACACAGACGGAGAGAAAGATGGAGATGGGGAGGTCCGGGGCTGAGACAGAGGGATGTGGATGGGAAAAATGGATTGTGTTGGCTTGTTGTATTAATGCAGAGCTCGGTCTGAGAAAGAGGCGGGGGCTGCTTGGCTACAGGAATCATTCTATCTGATTAGCTCCCAAGGGGCACTGATACCCACACAAAGAAAAAAAAAAAAGCCATTGCTGCCTGCAGCCGGGCGCTGTGAAGTTAGGAAGAGAAGGACGAAAAGAAATGAGGGAAAGGAAGAGGAGAGAGAATGAGACAGAAAGAGAGAGGCTGCGCTCTATCAGTTCATTCAATATCTTAAGATGCTGGGAGCAAACCTGAAGATGCTGCAACTCATTGTGCTGCAATACAGATGAGACATGAGGAGGGAAGAAAAAAAAAAGCAGGAGAGCAGAAGTGAAGCAAAAGCAGAGAATCTTACATCCAAGTGAGATGAGAAAACGGGATGGATTGATGGAGAAAAGAGCAAAATGAAGACTGGCAGTAAGACCAACTGAAAGTGAGAAGAGGAGAAGAGGAACAGGTAGAAAGCGAGAGACGAGTCTAAACACCCGTGTCATTTCTGTCTTCACTTCCTGTAACTATGGCAACCTGTCAGCAGCCAGTCAGGGCCAGCTGTAGCCTCTTCCCCTTCCTGTCGAGGTGGCAGACACTGACTGAGCCGAGCAGAAACAAGAAGGAACAAAATTTCACCACCGGCTCTTCCCCCTGATCTCCCTGAAGTTCACCTTGGAAGGAAAAATTGATCCTGACACACGTCCGATTCCAGGAGTTTAAATCTGTCAGTCTGTGCACTGATGGTGCCTCTGCAAGGCAAACGCTTCAGCCTGCAGCTTTCTAGATGGTTTGCTGCAGAAATGACCGCCGCATCACGGAGATGAAAATATGACAACTATGACAAGAGCAGATGTAACTGAACTAATAATTTGGCAGTTCAGCAGAACGGATGGGCATGTGATTACCTGCAAACGTCCAATTAAACAGCCCCTGGCAAGGCCAGCACACAGCTGTGCATGGCAATATTACACACACACACAGACACACACACACACTCGGAAATGACAGGTTCACAAAGCATTGCCAGTGTTTCCTCCCAAACATAAACAGTCGGGGCTGTGAAATTTGTGGGAGATGAATGACTGATCTGTCCTTGCACCTGGGCTCAGAAGAGGCACGCGTGTGCATGTGCGTGCGTACATGCTAACCCTGCAGCTGTCCATACCGCCTCTATAGCACCATAACACCTTTCCCAGTGTTTCCTACAGACACTTCCTCACAGTCTACCTAACTTTCAGGGCACCTGTCCGTTTACTGCCCCTCAGTAGCCTTCAGATCACCGTGCCCACTCACCCTGCTCTTTGATCTGGCGGATCTGGCGCACCGTCTCTTTGAGGATGGCACATTTGTCTGGTTTGACGTTGAAGCTGTCGATGTCGCTTAGGTTGGCGGAGATCAGCTCCGCCAGTTCCTCTATGTATTTGCTCTCCTGCTCCCGCCGCTTCCTCTCACACCTGCAGGGGGGCAATAAACAAAGATTAAAGCTAAACTACAGCGATGCACTTTTCTCAAAGTGTGATCAAAGTGCTGTTTCTATGTCAGAAAACAATGCAGAGTGGCTGCGAGGTAGATGGCAAGCAGTTTATTTTGTGAGACCGATGTCTTCTTTGTGCCGCAAAAAATGTCTAGTTGAAATGTCAGCAGTGGTTGTATTGAAGGTTGAGAACAATGGCTATCTTATGAGTTAGTCATTTGCTGATATGGCTAACTGGACATTACTTTCTTTTTTTTTTTAAAAAAGCTTGCAGTACGGTCACCTTTCCTGGCAAGACTTAGAAGAGTAGATCAATACCACTTCTAGTATTTTTGGAGCATATTTGCCTTTATTTTTCAGCTGCAGTGGAGACAGAGACAGAAAATGTGGAGAAAGATCATCAAACGTAGGGTGAAAGGCCAGTGGAAATAAGCATCAAAAACACAAAATTGAGTCTACACACATTAACGTGGCAATGGTCAATTTAATGTGTTTGTCCTGATGAAGATCTAACTGGAATAAAAACACATGACTAAAACAAAGTCAGTACGCAGGCACGTTTTATTTCTTGCGTTCCAACCAGGCGAAAATGGCTTTACCTTCTAATTTTCAGAGCGTAAAGTACAAAGAGGAAATAAAAGAATTTTTCCAATCAAAACTACTAAATTTTTTTTGCAGGGTTTCACTGTTACTCATCACGGCAGACATCGACATAATAGCTGTACAGCCAGAGCTCAAGAAGACACTGACCCAGTAGCCCACTTTCCTGCATTTCCCCTCTTGTTTGCTGATCCCACACACTCACCCCATACCAGGCGTGTCACAAGTGGAGAGCTTGCGTTTCCGGTTTTCTGAGCTCAGTGGCTCCATGGAGTTTTCCCCCAGCCCGCTCATCGTGAACACATATCAGCACCTGATAGAAAAGGAGCATAAAAAACACACACACACACAGGGGTGTAAATAAAACTTTAATGCATTGAGTGAAGTGATTACACAGTCCCCTCTTAGCCTTTTAGCTCTCATTATAAAGGTAATTGTGAAGGCAGGAAGGCACGGCAAGCATCCTTTTGAACTCAGCAAAAATAATAAAGGCAGGTTGTAAATGAATAAAGTGCAAAACAGTACACAAGCAGGCTAAAATATGCTTATATCATGCAAATCGTATTCTCCTTGCAGAGACTGACAAACATAAACATGTCTCGTCGGCCGCCTCCTCCTCCTCCTCTTCTTATTTGGAGAATATGAGCGTAAGCATGTGAGGCTGTGTGTGTGTGTGTGTGTGTGTGTGGCTGTGCATGTATGAGTTCATCAGCTCGCATGGAGTATCCACGCGGGCATGCACACACATACACACAAAGACACAGGATTAGCAGTGTCTCTGATGATAAGCCACGCAACACAACTAACCCCGTTAGACAGCCGTCTGTCTCCCATAATGCATCACATTTCGTCTCCAGGAAGTGAGCTGATAAAGGTTGCGGGGATGAGAGGCAGATGGGCCGAAAAGGAGGAGGAGGAGGGAATAGAGGGAAGGAAAGGAAGAAATGAGGAAGGGAGGGAGAAGCCGGTGCAGTGACGTGAGCTCTGATTGGTCATTTTCTTTGCCACAGTGACAGCAGCTGACACTGGGGAAAGGTAGGAGGGAGGGAGGGGAAAGGAGGATAGAGGGAGGGAAGAGAGGAAAGTAAATGAAGGGGAGAGAGAGCACAAATATAGTGGGAGACAGAGGAATTGCAGAGGAAGAAAAAAAAACAAGGATGAGGGGGGGGAGAAATCAGAGCAAAAAGAGGTGGCGGCAGTAGGAGGGAGCGAGCTGAGAGAAAGAGAGATAAAGGCATGTCAAAGAAAGACAGGCGGGAAGGGGAACAGGTGAAAGGAGGAGGATTCAGTAACATTCAGACAGTCTGGAGTGTGTTTTGAATGCATGTGTGGCACACAGAGTGGGCTGAAAACCGCCTGTACCCCTCTTAACCTTCACAGCCAGAGCAGCTTTTTCATTCCATTGATTACATGGTTATCCTCTGACCAGAGCACTGCCTCTCCTGCATAGAAAATCAGGCCAGCGGCAGGGGAGAGACGCCGGCCTGTTATTTAATCATCATGCGCCATGATCTCTGGTGGGATCGGAGCAAAAGCATCTGATTGTGTTGCCTTTTTATTTTTCGGTTTCAGGACAGAGAAGGTCCCAGTCTTCAGTCGTGTGAACTTGGCTTGCGAGAACGAGAACACACCTTCCTACTGAGACAGAATCAATATGAGGACTGCTTTCACGCATGTCTGCAAGACCAGGTGAAACACAAGTGTATTCTCTTGCAAGACAACAACTGGGAATACTCTCCTAAAAGCATGAGATGCTCTGAAATCTCACAGATACTCTTGCTCAATCCTTCCCTCTTTCAAATTTCTCTTTTAATCTCTCCCTCGAGTCCCTCCCGTCTAACTGACTGACTGTCTGCCTTAGTGCCTTTGTCTGCTTGCCTACCTCTTCTTGCCTATCCTACGATCTGCCTCCCTGCGTGCCCGTCTACCTGCCTCCCTGTCTGCTGCTCTTCGTTAGACAAAACCCCCGCTTGCTGTTGTCTGATGAAACCTACCACGAGGGAGATGAGGAGCAGGAGAAGCTAAAAGCAGCGAGAGGGGGAAGTACAAAGTAAGGAGGTTTCAGAACTCAAAGAGCCAAGACAAAGTGTTCGGGTGAAACTCCTTCTTTGCTCCTACACCAACCAAACCCACCCGTCCGCCTGCCTGACTGCCAGCCTATTGATGGAGTTCTCAAAGGGGGAGTTGCTCTAATTGCAGAGTGAATGAGGCAGCCCCAGAGAATAGTTGATTAGGAGGCTGCTGAATGCCCCAGGGAAATGGGTCACCTCCAGCCTGGCGCGGGCCGCCCGCTTTTCCAGTGCGGGGAGAAAGTCAATTACACGCCACAGGCAGTGTGGGGCCTGGTGGCAGAGAGGCAGCGGGGCTGCGGTGGGTACAATACAGCAGCAGGGGGCAGTGGGAATGAGCCACGTAAAGAAGGAAATGGAAGAGGGTGATGGCGTTATTTAGGGCAGCAAGAGGGAATGGAGAGACGGGCATGAAGACGGCAATTTGAAGGAGACTGAGGGATACTGGAGATGTGAAAGGGATTGTGCAGAGCAAAAACATACTGCAAACTAGCTTCCCTACACCTGGGTTAATGTGCAGTTTGAATGAGAGTATTAGAGAAACTGGAACAAAAACTGTGGAAATTAAGGGGATATTGTTTTGGGAAATGAAAGAGAAATTTTGGCAGAAAAAACCCAAAACACACAGTCGCAAAGCACATTTGTTAGTAAAACTTACAAATGTTCAAAAAACTAACAATAGTCAAATCCTCCATACTAAAATCTTATAGTCTTATCTTAAGAAGACACGATTGAGTTGGTCGAGTTGTGGCAGAAAACAGCACTGGTCATTTATACTCACAGCGAGTGTACAATAACCACATTTCACAAATCAACTGCTTCATGCATGCAGGCAATTATTTAAAGCCCGATTCACAGTCACAGAAATGCATTTAAATGCAATCTCCCCAAAAATACTAAAAGAAACCAAAAGAAATTGGTTAAAAAGTTGGTTTGAAAAGGAAAGGAAACCGCAACAGAGGTTACGACTAGGATAAAGAAGTTAGGAAAAAAGTAGAGACAGAATCACAACGAACAGCAACAGTTGGTTTTACTCCAATGTTATAAGTTCCAACTCCTCGGCAGTAGGTGCTAACACTGTCTTTTGACACTGCCTCCAGGTGACAGTGCACAGGTACAACATGTAGACAGGGGCCTGCAAAGCTCAGCGTACGGACCACCCAACACAAAATCATGCTGGGATCTTTGTTCCTAATCCAGGTGTGACTTGTGTCCTACGATACTACAATGCACTCATGTTAGAGGTGTTAAGAGACTGGCATACTCCTTCAGAAATTTTTGTAGGATGGTCGAACAGCTTCAGAAAGCCCCCACCAATTTCCGGTATTATCAATGAGAATTTATGTAACAGAAGATCTGACACTTTACACCCACTTCGTCCAGCCACTGTCCAACTGTGCAGAAAAAAGCAGTCAACATCTTTCTTCTGCCTCAAGCCCCATTTTCTCCATTTCTTATTTTCACTTGTGAATCTCACTCTATAAATCGACTATATCCAAAACAAAGGCATATGTGTGGTAGACGTTGCTCTCTGATGTGACTGGACAGCATACTGTACATTTCTTTTCTAACCATACACCCGCTGTTTAGCCCCCTAAAGCCTGAATCATGAGCAAATTCATAAAGAATTCTAATTTTTCAAAAGTGGCGTGTTTATTGAGCTTTTTGGTGTGTCTAAAAAAGAAATTAAGTGTCAGTTTGTATGTATAAGTTTTAATTTGTCCGGGATTTTTCTGTAATTTACACCGGTGATCTAGAGGTCTCAAAAACTGAAACATTCTACGCTTGGAGTTACAGGGTTAGAGAAACAGTAACACAAATGTATTCTTATATACCTCTAATGATGAGGTTAAAGGACACTGGGAAGTAAAATAGGAGCAGAAATCCAAGTTTGCACCTATGTTAGACTTCATAACAAATTTGTATGTTCTCACTATGCCTGCAGAGAGGTTATGAAACAGCACTGGCTTTTCACTGACAAACAACAGCAATGAAAAACAAAATTAGCTCCCATCTGACTGGTCATGGGAAAGCCTCCTCGTTTGATGACAGGTGAAGGTTAGAGGACTCATGCAGGCAAGCAGCTCTGAACTTTGATTTTAAGTTTGACCTGATACTCAACCCTGATCTTGAACTGAGTGATTCCAAGAGGCCATCACCTTCATGCTGACAGCTGACCCATATATTATTTGGGTCAATGGGCGAATGAGGCAGGAGGATCGTTCAGGTCAGCACTGCTGTGGTGTCACTTGGGGTGAAGCTAAACTTCTGAGGTCTGCTAAAGGACAGTAGCATGCCAATGACCCTGGATCCCGGAGCCCAGTGGGAGCACGACTCACCAGGAACCACAAAGTTTATGGCTTTATGGCAAAACCAGAGGAAATGGCTCACCTCATAAAACAGAAAGCATACAGTCCTGTTGACTAGTGAGGGATCTAATTCACACTCAATGTTGCTTTCAAAATATCCCCTTTAACTTTGGAAAAGACCTAAAGAACAGATTTTTTAAGTCTTGGCAGGAAGAAAGAAATACATTATTCATTATGGAGAAAATACAGACACCGCACTGACTGATGGGTAAGCTACAATCAAAGCAGTATTGCTAGGCAACTGTCAAAATCCCACGATGAACACATTCCTACTCATTCTCATGAGTTCTGAACACAAATTGACATTAATGAGAGTTTACTAGATTTTTTTTAACGCAAGCCCTGCAGAAAAGAGAAAAAAAAGATGGATGATGGACAAGAAACTCCACAGAGAAATGGAGTCGTTCTATTACGGTGATGGACCAAATACTAGGTGGAACAAATTTACTTCTGCAGTTTGTGGGCTTTATACATCCTTTAGAGGCACCTTTTGGGGTTCTTTGTTGTTGCTACTATTTTTATCTCTTGCACATATGATGTCAATGTCATAATCTTAGGATGGTAGGCAGAGACTGGATCAGAAGACAAACAAAAACCACATACTGCTTTTGTCTCCTGGCTATAAAAGCAGACAGTAAAGGATTTACTAATGAACTGACACAAGATGTTCATGGTGCCCAGAGGGAGAATGAAGTCAGAGCATAAGGACAGGGCATTAATCTATTTCATGTGTCCTCACACTTTGTGGTTAAGAGGAGGGGTGGTGCCTGGAAGGAAGCTGCCTGATGTGATGGTGCTTTCTCACAAGCAGCCTCTATCAGGTAATGTATAGGCAAGTTCAGGGCTATGGTGAAGCACGGAAATGTGATTTCCCCATGCTTTGTGTTGCTCCTAGACAATCATGACAATGTTGGTCCACATTGCAACTGACCAAACCTGTTGTCTCTGCATTCAGTTAGCATTAGCCAAGAAGTTAGCAAACAAGGAAACCAACACAAGCAACCTAAATTTGGCAAACAGCAAATATTACCATTCCAATTTATTCCAGAAGCTGGCCATGATACGAATCTCTCATATGGCTTCCCTTCATTGGCTTCCTGTTAAATCCAGAATTGAATTCAAAATCCTGCTCCTCACATACAAGGTCTTAAATAATCAGGCCCCATCTTATCT